CGGGCAAGAGTCAGTGATGACTGCGGAGCATTCCACGCGGGCCTCTGGGGTTCTCCGTCATCGCTTTTCAAGCCCAGCAGATAGCACAGGTATGGGACACCTCAAGGGGGACTCATCATTAAAATTTTATATATACAGTCGTAAAGTTTTTTTATGCAAGATTCTGACCCCCCCCCCCTATATGAGGAAGGTCCTTCCCACGGCTATCTCGGCAATCATTCGCTTGCGCAAACACATTTCGGCCCGCCACTGGGAAACGTCGAAGTAAGCTGGTTTTTATCATTTCAGAGGATCTACCGTGCCCAAATAATGTGTAAGCCATTTAATGGTGGGTTCTGCAAATATTCAGGTTGTTTCATCGGAGATCAAACTGAAGATGATAGGTGACGGAGAACAGAAATAAATGATCATTCTCATGTGTTCACCACCAAACTCGTCGATATTTCGGCCTAGAAAGGGTTTTCGAGAGCCAACAGGTCCCCTGGGCGACGAAAATACCATCATTTTTCTTTCAAGTGGTTTAAAGTGGTTTTTAAGTGAATTCACAATGTATGTCAAAAAGTTTTGTTATTCAACATCTGGACCCCCCTTCCCCCCACCTATATCCGGAATTTTAATAATGATTCCCCCTTGTGACACCTGGGGTTTTACTGAAATCGACGAATGCTCACCGAATTTGCGCTGAAATCTCGCCGTCCCCTCGTCGACTCGTCGCTGCGGCATCGGAAGGTCAAATTCTCTCGCATCCGGATCGAACCGCGGAGTAGGGAATGGAGGAAATAGGAAGTCGTGCATGAGCGGGAAAACTGCGGGCAGGGTGGTCGATGAGTGAACACCGATGAGGATGAGCGTGGATGAGAGAGGCATCCTAGTCGAATAACGGCAGTTCGCACCTTCGGGACCGCGAATGATGTCGGCACTCCGGGCCGGGCGACCTTTCAAGTTTGCTCCCGAACGACCACCCCGTTTTCACAAATACTACGTTGGCTCAATCTCACTTGGAGGAACCGCTTCCCCATGCGACATTCTACCTTCGAAGCCTCCACCATGAAGTCCTTCAACGGTCCGTCGACCGCGGCCAGAAATCAGCAAACCATTTACAGTCATTTCCCAAACTCGGCGCCCGCTTGCAACGACCCCACCATTCGGCGCTGGCCCAGAGTCCGACACTCCCGGTTCCGCCCAACGCCCCCCGTCCCAAATCGCCGCCGTACAGCGCGTTCGACTCAACGCAAAACTCATGCGAACGCGCTGCAAACCCGAACCCGAGACCCTCTGGCCGCCCCGGCCCTCCAACTCTCTTAAATCCCCACCCCTCCTCTCCGCAATCTTGGCCCCAGGGCCAACCCGTGCGCGCAGCGCACGATCTGGTCTTTGCAGTGCATACGCCACCGCCAACTCGCCTCCACTCGGCTTCCATCCGCGCAGAAACACCGCGCGCATTCGGCTCGCGCATGCGGCATCGGACGTGGTGAATGGGACACCGCGAGGACACTTTGTGCCGTTTAATGTCAGCTGCTCACGCTCTAGGGCTCGACGTCCCTGTGTCCCAATAGGGCAGCAATGGCACTGCGCCGCTATCTAATCTTCTTACCGTTGGCTCACCGTCCGGGGTTTAACTCTCCAATTCTGGATGCCTCGTTCTCTAATCCTTTTCCCCGGACTTGAATTTCCGGCGGAGGGCTACTCCGTGTGGACCGTGGTATGATCGTATATTGTGTTACATACCATTCGCTCTTGCGCGATGAGCTGACGCCTTTTCCGGTGTTGTATATCTCTTGACTTCGCCTTGGATGCGGGTCTGAAAGCGACCAACAGTGCATGATATGCTCCTTGGGCGTACTCCCTCTTCTGCCGATAGGTGACAATCTTTCTCGATGCATATCCGGCATCCGCGTCTCTTGACTTCGCGCCTTCGGTGACTCACCCTCGCTGCCCCCGCCGGCACCGAGCAGGGGAGTTTATAAAATCAGACAATAGACGTAGTGCACGGGACACGGCGAGGTCGTGGTGGGGTTCTCGGATGACTATGATCGGCTTGCGTCGACTGCCCGCGTTTGATTTGATTGCGCGCACTTTTCCCTCTTCTAACGAAACGGCTCTAATATCCCCGCAGAACTTCAAATTTTTTCGATCCGTTCCCTGATCTCCCGGTTATCATCATTTACACCAACATCCGCGGGTGCAGAGGAACGAACACTGCTTCACAAAGAGTGAGCTGTGATAAGTTGGGAAGCGGATACTCATACCCGGGCGGGCTACAGAGGACTTGGCCATCGGCAGTGGAGGAAAATGGATCATGCACGATAGTGTTTGCGGCGCGTCCTCCTCAAGATCACGGAAACTCATGACTCACGACGTCCCGTTCCAGTCGTGCGCGCCATCGCCCACCAATCACCATCACGCGTGTAAACACTGTGTGCGAATCCCTTTCGTCAGGATCACAATCAACTCATTCGATTGTAAAGGTGGGAAAGTATCAAGCTTATTAATTTGGTCGCCCTAGTAATTTCTGTTGGGCTCCTCGCGAAAATGACGACTTGAGATCTGCCACGAATGATCAACAAGAATCTGCCATGATCAAGTGTACCGTACAAATAGGTAAGCTGTATCTGCGCTCTCGCTCAGACTCTGTCCGTATTCCCACTGTCCCTACTTCTGCAAGATGTCTCCGCCCTGGACTAACCTGGCTGGCCTGGTGATTGGAGGATCCCTCTATGGCGTTTATTTCGTTCTCTACATTCTTTCAGCCTATCTTCTCATTCAACGTTCGAGCGGAGCGCATGCGAGCCCTGTCTACCGCTCAACCATCTTTGTTTCGGGACTGTTTCTCTTCGTTGCCGTTACGGGGGTGAGAGATTCTACTATCCATTTTTCAACGGCTGATGTAGTGGATTAGAATTTTGTGTTGACAGTTGTGAGGGCCTTCCTCGGCTTCATCGTTGTCGAGAACGGGACCGTGGCCGCCGCCTTTTTCGACGACAACAGCCAGATCACAACTACTATCCAAAATGTATGCGCTGCATTAGCCATCCTGATTAGCGACAGTGTGATCGTGTGTTCACTTCCGCTCAGTACCGCGAGTTGGCGCTTTAATGATGGCAGATATACCGACTGTGGATCGTTTGGTCCCGCAATAAATACATTATCATATTGCCAATCCTGACTCTGTTTGGTCTCATGGGTAAATCATCGCACTCTCCCTCTCAGTCTCTCAGAATAATGACGCGTCACCAAGTGACCCTGGTTTTGTCTGTGCAAACCACTACACACGTGAATAACATCGCTGAAGACAAGGGACTGACGCCTGGCCTGGTTTTCACGCTCGTGTATGTCTTCCCCCTTCCCTCTGCGCGGCCACTCCTGATTCTGTAGTGAAGTACCAACCTTTACTGCACGGGTACTTGATTAAATCCAAGATCTACGTCCCCTATCTGCAACTAACGCTAGGACTCATTTCGTGGAAAATTTGGAACATCACCACAAACGCTTCAACCGCCAGTGGAAACAATCTGAGAGTGAGCGAGTTGAACATCCGTTCCGTGTATAGATTGTCTAAGAGTGTTCGCAGCATTTCCTCATCGTCCTCGTCGAAAGCGCAGGAATCTCCACGTTCGTCTGCCAAGTTGCCTCTTCCCACTTTCTTATTCGTCGTGCAGAACATGGGCTACCTTCTACATCGTGACCCACCAAACCAACTCTGACCTTCAATTTGTGGCGCTCATTCCGCTGCCTGCCGTCGCCGGGATCGCGAACGCACTTATCCAAGCTCGAATTGGGATGGGCAAGACAGTAGAGCGCACTGTCCCGTCCTCTTACGCGGTATCCGGCTTCGCACTGCGCTCTACGAGAAGTGGGGCCGCCCATACCCTTGTCGGGCAGAGCGACACATTTGTGAAGCCGGAACCGGTTTAATGCGAATGCGGAGAAGTGGTTCAAATTCCGAAGAAGTCAACAAGTTGTACTTTATCGTTTTCCAGGCCCAGCGCCGTTCTTTGTATTTTGCAGTTGTGAACTGGGATCAGATTTGTGCAGAGTTAAACTTCACGACTGATACAAGTGAGTCATTACCGGAAATAAAATGACCTAGTAACGAGTCGAGTTCATGTTGGATTGGAAAAGGCTTGACGGCAAGCAGAGGTTATGGCAACGTACGACAATGGGTGGGAATCCCCGGCTCGGCGCCTTCTAAGTCTTTAGGGCGGTGGAATCGAACATGGAGATGATCATATCGTTACGTCCGCGCTATCATTTTCCTCGCCAACGATCCTTCTTGCGGACCGAGCCTGATGGGTTCGACGGTGCCGCGGATGAGAGGCGCCAGCATCGGACATCGCACAGTAACCCTTTGTTTCATGCGTCGGTGCGCATCACCGCGGTCACCGAGTCGCGCGCAACATTTCTCAGCTGAACTGAGGCTCAACCGTGGGAGAAATCAGTCAAATTGCAAGTGGTTGTCAAAGAGGTTCGCCGTAGCCTTCGTATGCACTCCGGAGCTGCGTTCACCGCTTCTTATGGCTCCTTGACCTATAGTGCTGTGAAAGAACTTTCCAGCCCGTACTGTTGACACTTAGTTGTCACCGCTATGACAGACTGTAATTTTGGGATTTTGGTCGAGTGTCAACGTCAAATGCGGCTTTCACATAAATTCAATTTCAACGTACTTTGACAGGAACCTCAAGAGAACAGTAAATAAGCTCTCGGTAGTGGCCTGATGGTCTAGTAGTATGATTCCTTGTTAGGGTTTAATTACCGGATTCGAGGAGGTCCTGGGTTCAATTCCCAGTTAGGCCCTTTTTGCCCCCGCGCCCGGTTCTTTTGGGACATACCCTCCGCGCTTGAGTGCTTCCGTTAACCTGAATCTCATAGGGCATACCGCCTCCACTGTGATCACCTGTTTCAAAACGAAACGACGCGTCGTTATGCATATGGTGGAATTCCTAACAGTGAAGGGGGAATGGGCAAAACAAGGCAAAAAAGTTCGAAGGAGACCGAAACAATGGTAGCACCGTGGATTGAACACCGGACCTTCAGATGGTCTGAAATTGCCTTCAGTCTGTTGCTCTCCCAGCTGAGCTATGCCGCCCAGTTGGGTCCAAACCGTACCCCTTCTCTCATTCACAGCAAAGATGAATGTGCTGAGAAAAGAACCTTTGGCTACCATTCACCCGGATTCGGGGACATAGAGGAACAAAAATGGCGCGTTTTCAATTCATACCGTCCTTAAATCTACCGCCAAACCTTCGTCAATATATTCATTACATTGTCTTCACATAGCTCTTTACTTTATTGGTGTGACACCATGCGACGGAATCGACGACGTCGACAGGAAGCTGGGACGGTGAAGATAGGGTCATGAAAAACACAGCGAAGATAGCGTAGATAGAGGAAATGGGACGCAGGGCAACACCTCTCGCCCAGCACGGTAAACCGCGTCCCGTGCAATACAAGCGAGAAAACACCTCTATCCGTCCAAAAGCGCCCCAGACACGGGGCTGCGGGGCGAATACGGAAAGTACGGCCTTCCGCCTTCGCTGAAAAAACCTCCCCAGTCACACCGCCCGCTGCCCACCAAAAGCACACCACAGAAAGAAGAAGGCACACCACAGAAAGAAGAAGGCACACCACAGAAAGAAGAAGGCACACCGCAGAAAGAATAAAGTACACCACAGAAAGAAAGATGACTCACCCCCATTGACCCCTTCACTTCCCTCCCTCGCACTTCCCATCCAAATAGTCTCCGCCAAATAGCTCGCCAGCTGCGCGCTGTCTCTCTCTCACACGCTCTGTGGACTGGCGTGAACCCGTCTGGTATGGAGAGCGCGGCGTCGAGCTGGGCGGGACGGGGAAAATTGGGTCGGAGCTGGAGAAGGCGTGATGATGAGGGCGCAGGCCTGCGAAGAAAAATTATCATCGCACTAACACTAGTCGCAACAGGGAACCACCACCCCATCCCCGTTCCCCGCCGACAGCGCCGCATTCGCCCTTCCAATGCGGCTGAGGAGGTTCCACCCGGCGCGCGGCTGCGCCCAGGTCTAGACGGCGGGCGTGGAGTCGTCGACCAGCGCGCGCGTGCGGGGGACGTAGATTATAATTCATTCGCGGAGGAGGCGGATGAGGGAGGGTATGACGGAGGCGGGGGCGCCAAAGTGCGGAACTGGGTGTATATAGATTAGCATAGGAACGAGATCGATAGGATTGGAAAAAGGGAGAGCGCGCGATGCGTTGGAACGACTTCAAGAAAAGGGAACACGTGGAGCGGTTTATGCGCATGTCGCTTGGAACGAAGCAGCATGCGCCGATTCTACGCAACGCGTAAGGGGAAAGAATAAGTGCCGTCCACGAAAAAATGCTGCACTCACGGCCAAGTGAACCCCGCGCACGTCGCTTGCCCCACTAGCGCCCGTCCAGGCGAAAAAGACTCCAAGAACCTCGCGCGCGACGGGTACGATGATAGCCTGCCAGCTCGTAGGAGTCGTCCACCAAGGAGTGGTCGCACGTACGACGGGGTGTGCCCATATCGCGTGGAATGACGCAGTACGCGCCTCGTCGCCCCATTAGTATGAGCATTGGCGTGAGTCCGGGGCAAAACAAAGGCGAAAACCAACCCCGCGCCCACGCTCCGCGCGCGGCTGCGTCTGGGTCGCGGTCGGGAGGACGAAAATCTCCCGGTTCATCGCAGCTGCCACCAAGGGGCGGAACCCAAGAGCGACCAGCGGGGCAAGCGCAATGGCAGCAGCACGGAACGCAAGTAAAGATGGGTCACTCGTCCCGTGCAACGAAGAGGGAAAAAAGTCCAAAAGACCGTCGCCAGAAAAACGAGGACATGCAAACGGGATATGCCACCGAGGAGGGAGTACTACCGAAGCACAACCTGCGAGTAGACACAACAGTAGCGTCGATACAGCAGGAACATGAGTTAAACTGGCTCCGAGTCGTCGTGTAAAGCAAAGACGAAAAAGGAGCAAGCGGAGTAGCGTTTTCGAGGACGGGTGTCGTGGCCGCCGAGTGGTCTCCAAGGACAAAGCAGGACGCGCGTCGTCGCTTCCGTTACTTCAGTCCGGCGCCAGAAGAGTGGGAACGTCGTGCACGAGGTCGGAAGAGCGACAAACGACCAAGAACATCGTAGGATTTCGCGGCGTTGTCTCCACGTAACATGCAAGTGGAGCCCGAGGAAATACAGGTCGTCGCCGCAGTCCTGCGCAAAGGGGCAAAAGTCCAAAAAAACGTCCGCCAGAACAAGGCAGAATGAATAAGGGTGGTATGAGCCTTGGCGCGCGTTGCGCATATTCGGGACGAGCTAGTTCAGCAGTTGGCGTGTTGGTGGCAAAGAAGAAGAAAGCGGCGAAATCAGATTTGATCCGATATGATCCACCAACACTGCCACATTAGGCTTCTTCTTTCTACCACTCATGTCAAACTCATGTTCGACTCATGGGTTTCGGCTTGGGCCTCTGGTCAAAGTCCAGCTTCAAGTTCTTTTGCGACTCGGAGCAGACTACTACATTCACAGCCTTCCCCCGCGTCCTCGGTGGTGCTGGGGAGGAGTGCGTGGTAAGGCACTTTATTCCTCTTCTAAATCGTGCGTCGGTTCGTGGGGGCAAATCGCGCACCATCGCGCTCGGGCGTGTTGTTGCTCGATGCCAATGGCATGTTCACAGTCGATGCGCGCTGCGGTTGCGGTTGCGATCCTTGGTTCCTTGGTGGTGGTTCTGCCGAGTCGTCGCGTCGGTGATGAACCTGTACAGTCATGCGAGAAGGGTGCGTTGTAGAGCCCGTGCGAGAAGAGTGCTGAGGTTAGCTGCCACGGGAGACGGGACGACGGGGACGAGTTGCCACGAAGGTGTGAGGACGAGTTGCCACGAACAGCGGGACCAGCGGGAGAATCCACTGGGCTCGACTTTTGATTACGGACGCACTGGAAAGCTCTGCGTATCTTGCGCGCACCCCTTTTCGTAGGCGTTTCCTCCTCTTCCTTCACGCAGACGGGAGCAGAGAAGAGGGAGAGGGGACAAAGGCTTGGAGGCAGGCGTGCTGGGCGGTACGTTCGTTCTTTTATTCTCGCTCTCGATTTTCTGTGTGTGCCTTTCGCGCAGGGCGAGGGTCTTTCGGCCGTGTGGTGCTCGTCTATTATTTTTCCGTTCTTTCCCAACTCTCAATGCATAATGCATAACGAACTGACCCCAACGCTAATTTCTGCCCACCCACCCATACAGATCCCTTACCTCCGGTTCCTCGCTCTCCAGCGCAAGCCCGCAGTCTCCACCAAGTCCACTTCAAGCTCCGCGTCATTGAGCGTCCGCACTCCGCCTTGTCCCCATCCCAATTCTACGTTCACTTCGACATCTACATCCGTTGCACGCACACGCCTCTGCAGCTTCGACGAATGGGCCCCATCACCCGGGCTCGGTGTCGAATTATACGTCTACAAATTCAGCCCCGCTACCGGCGCACTCTCTCTCCATCTTTCCACCCACCTCTGCCTCTACATCTACGTCCGCAGCACTCGAACCCCATCGACGCGGACACGGAGGCTCTTCTACGAACGGATCTCCCAGGCTTAGCGTCGAGTAAAGCGCCAGTACCGACACAAGCGCTGCAGACGTCCCTCCCTCCCTCTTCGTTCCCTGCTGCTCCCTCAACGAACGGAAGAACGAGACTAAATCAACGATCGCGCAGAGTCCCGTGGAGAGCGCCGAAAGATGGGATGCGGAGTGATGGGGAGACGTTCTCGCACGTTAACCTGACCTGACCGCCTCCCCGCGGTATGTGTGCGACGCCTCCGCCTCGTCTGCGCCTCGTTCTCGTTTGCCGCGGCACATTTCCAATAATCCCACGGTAGTTCGGCGTTCGGACACACGCAGTACTTGCGGGTGTGCGGAGGAGGGGGAGGGAGAGGAGCGGAGCGGGATGGGTCGGCGTTGCCGGGATTGGAGTCCACGCCGACGAGTGCCAGTGCGAGTGCGCGGCGGGAGTGTCGATATCAGCAGCGACAGTCACGGTGACAGAGTCGGGGATGGTATGACGAGGAGACAAAGAGGGAACACGAGAACGCGCACTGGCACGAGCACAAAGAGCAAGAGGGGGAAGGAGACCGAGGACGACAACGAGAGCGAATAATGCCAAAGAGGTGCGTTTTCCTTCCTCCCTCGTCGCCCTTCGCTGGTGAACTACTCAGTACATGTGCGTAGAAAGATTAGAGTCGGTACGTACCGTGTTCAATTGTTCCCGTCGCGCGGCGCCGCGCGCCTTTGATGACTAGAAAGGGGTGACCCCTATCTACTTCCAAATCGAAGGACTTTGATCCCTTGTGGAGCGTCTAGGCAACGAACTGTCGCTGGGACATCGCTCGGGTTCAGATACGATATACATGGATGATGATGGCGCTTTTTTCGTTCTCCTGCTCTAGATTGCCAGTTACTCATTGTTAACTTGTTCCACAGTGGCGCCGCAACTGGATTTGCTCAGTACTAGTGTTGAAAAACATGGGATTAGATCTAACTCAAACTGGATAGAAACTCAAGTTTGAAACTGAAGTTGTTCGCAGCTTGAGTTCTGTTGTCGATCGATCTTGAGTCGTTGGTGGGACCTAAGTTCTCGGTTAGTGAGGGAGGGTTCGCATGGTACGCCTGCACAACGGGGATGAAGATGAGTTGACTGGCGGTATTAAGCGCTCAGCACCTATAAGATAATACGCAAACCTTTCATTTTCAAAGTCAAGTCGAGTCGAGTCAGGACATCACTACTTCTAACGCCTTTTATGCTTCATCGACAATTATAACCGGAAAAAGACTTGAAAACCATCGCATTTGTGCCGAGTCGAGCTACCTATTCATATCGTACACGCACCAAGTGAAATCCATACTCCGCATCGAACTGAACCCGGAATCCCGCGTGATTTCACTTTGTCCACTTGACGTCCTTGAGGATCTTGGTGTCGGCTACCTGAACGCCAAGTTCCCCCTTGGAGCTCTCGAAGGCTGGGAATGAGTGAGTCTATGCGCTGGAATATAAACGTGGAAAACTGCACTTACGAATGAACTAGATGCACAAATAGCGAGGAAAGAATTGTCAGACCGGTATTGG